AGAAAATATCTTGTGAGTACTTTGTTTTTTCCTGTCTCTTAAGCACCTGTAAGGCAAGTCATAACAATTTATCGCGCAAAAACGAACTTGCAACTATTTGTTAGCACATATCCGCACTTCTCATGTTTTCCGGAAGTAATCCGGAAGTATCAGTTTCCCAATGGTCAGTCAACTTCGTGATCTTATCACTCCTGTTTGTTCTGGCTAATATTTGTATACTTTGGTCATTCATCTTGGCCAATGTACACAGCTGTAACAATAGTTAAGGAAAATTGGAGAGGAACAAAATTATCACCCACTACCTTCTGCCACACTCAACCTGTAAGCAATGTGCCAATACAGCAATAATGTTTTAAATCCCGTAAACAGCAAAATATATTAATTTTCAAGGTTTATTATGTTGGATCACCTGCAAAACCAAAAAACAGCAGCAATCCTGCAAGCAGCTCTGTTTTGATTCTCATGATTGACTTTTCTAGTCATTATAACAACATTGAAGACATCTCCCTGTGGTTCACAGCTTTGCTAGTGTGCACTATACTTTTGACTGTTACAAAGATTTATAGCCCTGTTACTTCTACAGAGTTTAAGAAACAGCCTGGCTCATAAGCTCTCGACTGCCAATGAAACAGTGGTAAACATCAACTATTTTGTGCCAGTATTATCAAGGGAAAGGTTACACAAATAAACAAAATGATCATTAAGCAAAAGTCTGATTATTTTCCAATTCTCTTAACTTATCCTTACAGGAAATGTTAGCGGATAACTCAGGAACATCGATAGACGGAGATTGGGGATGAAAGTATTCACCGCTACATCTGACACATTAGCAGGTAATATTTTGCCTTACTAATGTAATACAACAAGTAAAGTTCATAGAACTTACATGTACACACTACCTTCCTTTATCAAACAGTCACAATATTACAGCTACTGCAAATCCCATAAAACTCAGTTAGGGTACAGTTATGGTATGCTTGAATATAATCAAGTTCTCAAACACCTGGTCCTATTTGTTCCAAAGGTGGGAATGCTATCCATCAAATCATTCTCAATACACTGTATTATGCAATTGGTTTTCCTAATGCTTATCCACTAGATAATGACTCTCCAGTGGATAGTCCTATCTACCTTTGGGACAACCGGGGCCTGCTGTCACATTTACTAGGGAAATGTTGTGACTGTTTGAGTCAGGATGCTTGAACATCCCCATCACTCTCAATAAACATTGCAAAGATCACTCGATACAAAAATAGCCACAAACATCTACCCTTTAAGCAACAAAAAACCCCTGACATTTGTTCCAACAGCATATTTAATTTACCCATGTGTAATCATGAGGGTGTCACTTGGGTATGGAAATTATCCCTGGCTACTACGAAACATCACCCCACTTACTTTGAGCAGAACAAAAAGAAAAGAAAATAGAACCAAAAGTTATTGAAGGCTGTTCTGTTATTCCCCAGCCACTAGTTGCATGTACCTTGCAGTAATGACAGCCCTGTCTGTTAACACTTAAGTACCCATTCCTTGTCCATTTTCACACGGTGGACACATGACCTTTATCTGCTTTTCACATCAAACATGGACAAGAGTACCTACCCATTTCTGTCTAATCCTCAGTCCTCAGAGATGACTACTAACAATGATATTAAAAATAACGAGATGAATGCCATATGGTGGGAACATTTTCAGAAGAAATTCACCTATCAACATTAGGGCTTCTACATTTAACTCATACAAAAATTAGTACAGTGAGAACCAATTCTAATCATTGGAAGAGAGGCTGAATTCGACTTCAATCGAGGAATGTGTGCCTCTCATAACATTTCTACTTTCCAAAATATGACATCAGACAGTAGTTTTGTGTACAACAAATAAGACGACAATCACACAAGGTCAATGATCATTCCATTCATTCTAGGTGATCAACATACCTTCTCCAGTACATCATGTTTCTTAGAAGGAGTTTCTTAGAAGGAGTTTCTTAGAAGGAGAAATTGTCTCCATTATATCTAGCTTTCTACCTACTTGGTAGTATGCAATTGGATATTCATGCTGTCCACTTGATGGTAAAAAAATTTCATTCATGGCCATCAAAAATATATATTCTTCCATTTACTGCATATCTCAAAACCCTATAACAGAATATGACGCTCAAAATGTCTTGTGACAATAATGATTACATAGAAAGAAAAGAACAGTAATACCAATGGAGAAATAAGACTTGCATCAGTTTACAAGGTGACAAAATAAAATAAACCCTTCCTTATCAAATTCCTTCTCACAATTATAGCTCTTTTCATTTTCGAACTGCATTGCCAACAGCCATACACACTACTTAACCCTTAAAGCCCTATTATTAACATATAGATTCTCCATACTGATCTCCGCATGCTCTGATTAAGAATAAGTTCAGTTCCAAGTACCCTTTAGCCCACAATATTAACATACAGGTTCTACATACTGGTCTCCCCAAGTTCTGTTTAACAATACGATGACTTGCAAGTACCCTTTAGCCCAGAATATTAACATACAGCTTCTCCACACTGATCTCCCCAAGTTCTGCTTAACAATATGATGACTTCCAAGTACCCTTTAGACTACAATATTTATATACAGGTTCTCCAAACTGATCTTCCCATGCTCTGTTTAACAATGATGACTTCCAAGTACCCTTCAGCCAACAATATTAACATACAGGTTCTACATGCCGATCTCCACAACTTCGGTTTAACAATACGATGACTTCCAAGTACCCTTCAGCCCACAATATTAACATACAGGTTCTACATGCTGATCTCCACAACTTCGGTTTAACAATACGATGACTTCCAAGTACCCTTCAGCCCACAATATTAACATACAGGTTCTACATGCCGATCTCCACAACTTCGGTTTAACAATACGATGACTTCCAATTATCCTTTAGCCCACAATATTAACATACAGGTTGTCCATACCAATCTCTGCATGTTGTGTTTAAGAATAATTTAACTTCAAAGCACCCTTCAAGTCCCAATATTAATGTGAAAATTCTCCATACTGATCTCCACATGTTCCACTTATTACTTTACTTCCAATTTACCCTTTAAGCTACAACATTCACATGCACTTTCAAAATGGGTTTCCCTAAGAAACATTTACAATTATCCTGTGGGCACCAATATGAACATACAGATACTTCATACATTTCCTTTAAGAATTATGGGAGCCCCAAGTTGCTCTTTAAGCCCTAATGATCACATAAAGATTCTCCATACTGAGAACCATACATAGTTGAGCTCCAATGCTCATATACATATTCTCACTAATGATCTCCATACATTTGCCTAAAAGGATCAATTTAACCCACATACATCTGATGCCTTAATATTGACATATACAATCTCCATACATTTCCTTTAGTAATTACTTGACACCTAACTCCCCTTAACCTCCAATATCCACATTAAGTCCATTAAAAACTAATCTCTAAAAAATTTCTTCCATTGTCAGACCCTTTCCTTGTTCATTATTATTTGCTATTAATTCTAATAGCCTGGTCTCTTTTGAGTCACTATTGTCAAGAGAAGATTGATGTGAAGCCTTCTTGACATTTATAGTTTAGACTTTGTTGACAAAGGTAGCCTTGATAAATTGGGAGGAAAAGAGCACACCAACCTAACCGTAACTAAATTCTTCAGTCAAGCAGACAAACAGAGCATTTATGACATCTCTCAAACACTTCTGATATTGAATAATGTTAAAAGATGCTGCTCTCCTCTTTTTCAGGATCCCAGAGTGAAGAGATACTTGATAACAGGATGAAAGACTACAAACAATGAATTTGTAAGACTTTGTATTAGTCTATAAAAAGCACCAAGGAAAACTTGACACCAAACAATTTGATTGAAAATATGGCGTGGAAGTCACTGCAAAGTACATTTGAGATTATATCTGAGAACAGAATCCAGGAACACAACATGTTCAATGACGAGTATTACTGGACTCTCAAATGATATTTCAGTTCCTTAATCACAGTACACATTTCAACATGAACTGGGTTGTTTTTATTTCCGAGTAAAGTCATATTATAGCATGAGAAAAAGGAAACAGTCGCATTTTAACTGGACTTGTCTACCTTATAAAAAGAAAAGATACACAACAATAAATTTCTTATTAACACCATGTGGAACACTCTCACTGCCCCTTTACCTTTTAATAGCAGTAGTAAATAATTCCCCTTCAAGCTTATATTTTCAAGTCTCACCCATAAGGGGTACTATAGAATCTATAAAGGTTGTCACTAATAACACTAACGTCTAATGAGTTAGGAGGTGGGGAATTGAACAAGGAAAGTCTTTTCTTTTCATACAAATACATCTGGCAGCGTGGCTCATAGTACCTGACAGCCCTTATTGATATCGTTGACAATTTCTGTTGTGTCTCTGACCCCAAGTCATTTTAACGAAGCTTTGGACAATTGCCAAAAAATGCTCACACTTCCAGTCCAGACTGTCTTTTCATTAAAGATTTTCCATATGGGGTAATGTGTTTAAAGCTCTTGGATCTACTGGATCAGGATAATAAGCCAATATACCTTTTTTGACATTATGTGGAAAATGTGTGAGGCTAATTGGACAACAAAATAGATTTAGTGAGCTGTCTACAGAAAAAAAATGAAATGCATAAAACAGATAATAAAGCCAGCCAAGGAACGTAACAAAAGTTGGGTAGAAGATAATTATCTTCATCGCACTAATCTGTGAGGTTCTTAAAAGTTACAGAATTTCAACAACAAGATTGCTTTAACCAACTTAGTGATTCACCCTTTCTTAATTATTTACCATATGCGGCACCAGCTCATGTAAAAATTACTGTTCAAAATAGACCAGTAATCTGTCCAGTAATGACATTTACAACCAGTAGCAAAGGAAAAAATCTGTTTTCACCTGGAAAGGACAATACCATATGCAGCTCCAAACATTTACTATGCTAACTGAATTCTCAGGTGGTACCCAAGACATCCCCCCCTCAAACTTTATACTCTCCCCATTGATAGGGGCTTCATACTTGGGCTGTCGTAGTCTAAGAATCGGCCTACATTTAAAGCTCGAAGGTTAAAACAAATTTTTGTTTGGAGACCGGGCATCCCCCTTATCTCAGGGTCTGGATGACCCCCACCCCCCCTTATCTCAGGGTCTGGATCCACCATTGCAAAAGAAAATGAAAAGCGGATATTATATCCACTGATGAATCTTTTTTCCCCTTTTTAAGGAGGGGTAACACTCCAAACAAAACCTAACCTAACACATAATCTGGTGGGCAATGCAGTTGATACCTTCAAATGATCCTCATTTGCTTCCCCACCATTCATCATGTCTCTTCACACCAGTAGCTGCATATAGCCACAACTCCCTCACCACTGAAGGAACAATTTTTGACATGACTGACCACAACGTCTAAATAATATACCACTTCATTCACTAACCTGATGGAAACTCTTCTTTGTACAGCATCACAACACTCGATAATTAAGAAGTGACTAACAACAATAGCAATAAAGAACAACCATTTACCCTTGTTAATGTTGACAGTGCAAAGGCTACAAGAGCAGAAAAATTATAGCCATAATTTATAAAAGCAGTTGCAAGGTAACAAGGACTGGATAGCAGGGCACAAGAACATGGCACCCTCACATTTTCAACTCAGTGTTCTAACCCTTGCCCACACAGGTTCATAAATGAAGCATTAAACCAGAATAACACATTCCACATGCTTTGTGCATCAATCGAGACACCTACCTCATGGAACAAAGTCGCAATTTGGAAGTTGCATATGGTATTTGTTCTTTCATCCTGCACTATAAGAATGATTTGAAGGACAAATTTTGATCCATTCTATTGCACAACCTTGTAATAGCCTATACGATGACCGATGGCATCCACAAACCAGCCCCACATTGCAGATTATCACAACATTAACCACAATCAAGCAGAAAATCAAAACGGCCAATTCAAATCAACACATGTACCTTCCAGTTCACATTATTGAAAATCCTTGCACACCTATGATACCTAAGGTACATTTCCAAAAGAAAAAAAGCAGTTGCTCACCACCCTGAGTTTTTCTTCCTCAATTTTCGGTGCACTCTATCCACTTTCATCAGAGCTTGACTGTTGACTTTTAAAGTTTGTACTGATTGGTGATTGTGCAATGGTGCTGATGGCTCTGATTTAAAACTAATGGTATGTGAGCGCCTAGCCGTGCTTTTCTCTCATTTATGGCATCTTTGATCACAGTGGAATGCCATGATACCAATAAAGCCTCATACTTCCTGCAAATATTTCTATATACAACCAACCCATGCACAATCAATGCATAAATTACATTTATTTCAGCTAAGGGTATTGATGGATAGGTGCAATAGATACATTGTTGAATTGCATAAGAACTGAGAAACATTTAATTGATGTAGAGCAGTAGGTTTTCTAGCCTGTGAAGTCAAGCTGAGATCTGATGTCAAACTAAAACATTCACAACAACGGTGATTTGTCGTTTTAAAACGTCTAACATACAAGAGGACGTTATCAATTCATGGTCATACAGTAACTTTTCAGTTTCAGAAACAGCATGAATTCACATTGCTAAAATTCCAGTCTTAACCAGTCAATGAATTAAAAATTAAAACAATTATTTTTCAAGGAATTAAGCATTAGTACATTAATAATTCTTTCATGTTATATAACCTTGTGTAATCCTCTTACATGAAAGCCAATGAAAAATAATGATAACCGCACTGCTGACATGATCAAATCAACATTTTAAATATATTAGGACAAAATTTTTCAGCAGTATTCCACTGAATTATATAAATACTATTAACGTAAGGAGCCGGCATTTAAGCCATATACTTCTGTAAAATTCAACGGTATGAATACAAGGCTAGAAACCTCTTTTTGTCTTTCTGCAAGTGACAATTGAAGATTATTATCTACGGTGATTTCATCTATTTGTTATTATCTCCAATGTTTTCAGCTATATTTCTTCACTAATAATGAAAATACGCCTTAAGGAAGAGACTTCTCCTCCACTACTTCAAATAAAGGTTTGATACATGACAGAACACCTTTAAACACAAAACACCAACAAGGTGACAATAGCCACATATCATTAATGTGAAACACAAATGACACAACCTTCTAACTAATGCACAGTTCTAGCTACATCCTAAAATGCAGTGTCTACTTCACTTTAAATTATATGATGAACTAAACTTTGAATAATACTTTACTTAACCTTTGAAGCATAATATAGGGACACCCAAAACACCTTCACAGGTTATAGAATAGATGTTATGAAACAATAAGAACTTGTTAGCAAAAAGGGCATTCTGAGAGGAAGATATCAAAAGCCTTTTTGTTACAACACTTTTCATTTTCTACCAAACTGTTTACAAGTTTTAGTAACAACTGTGTTAAAATATAATACTCATAGATTTATGTGTTTAAAGAGAGCCCTCTCTTTTACTGTTAATGTATAATTAAAAGCACCATTTTTAAGAAACCAACCTTGAGACACATAGGACTGACTAACACTGACTATACTTGGACACAAATCTTGTGCAGAAGAGCCTCTATTTAAACAGCATTCTCCTGTTCTCCTACATGCACATTTCCTCTTCAACTCATCAAGTTTCCGAAAGTTCAGAAATAACTTGCAAATTGACAAGTGGTCCACTGTATGGCTGAACAGGAAAGAAAAAAAAGGACATGACCATCTAGCAATGATGTGACCCTCATTTCAGAGTAACTCGTGATGGTAACCTTCCATGCTATCAAAGAGTGATTAAATGTTATGAAATCGGCTTTTAAAACAACTCAACCCATTCACATCTAGATCACTTATAACCCTTACCAAAATAAAACTCCTTACATTGTACTACTTGTCCTACACTCAATTTTAAAAGCCCAACAAAGCTTTCATTCCTAACTTGTGTAAATGAATGACATCTTTTAAACCATATCCAGATAACTGGCGCTCAGTTAAATAGACTGGGGTAAATGCATTAAGGAGTGAAAATTCACACAATTTTGACATCATAAGACATTTTACAAGGAGTTTGCAACCTTGCCATTTGTTAAACAGCTCTACATAAAATTTGGAAACACTACAGCAACTGTACAGGACCAGCCTAAAAACAAGTATCAAACTTCATTTGTTGATGCTAGAAAGTGGGCAAATGGAGAAATTTTACTGCAACAGTTAACATTCCTTTTCTATGACAAACATGGTAAGAATCTACTATAAAAAAAATTATTAAGCTATTCACCTGTGTGTCACAGTAAAATTCCCGTGGCGCAGGAATCTCCACGATCCAGCTGTCAGATAACAAAGACCACATTGATAAACACTAATATAATATAGACAAGTACATGTCAAATGCAGAGCTGACATGTTGCAAGAACAGCTGTGTGGGAATATTCAAATTATTTTTGCATCCAAAACGAATTTTCATTTTTTTTGAACATTACTGAGGCAGTGGACATTTTCAGGGAGTGAGAACTGTTATTCCATGTTATTGTTAAACATGAAATGTTGAAATTCTTCACTGACAACAGTTACACACAAATCAGATACTGTCTTTTAGATCATCTGCCAAACAAGATATTACTTAAATTTCTACACTGTAAACTTAATACCTGTCAGTGCCATCAAGCTGGATACCAGGATTCTAAAAAAAAATTCAATAAAAGAAATAGGTCTCTTTATGACTGCAGCATTAACTGTAATAACACCCAGGAGTCCTTAAGAATTTATTAAATTGTGTCACTGCTTTCCAGATGACATTCAAATTTGGTTTTTTTTCGGGGAGAAGGGAAAAGCACAGAACCCAGAGAATAACCTTTCGCAGCTAACAAGAGATCAAACAACAAACTCAAGCCACATATGCTGCCATAATATGATGTAGATTTTGCTAATACTGTCTTGTATTAATTTACCCGAGGGAGCCCATTCCTTTTAAGTCTGGTGGCTTCCCCTGGGCTTCCTCACCATTAGCTTTTTAAATATTTAGATTTTCTTGTTATTTTGTACGTCTGTATGGCAAAAAATAAAGTAAACTGAACTGAACGGAAGAACTCTGGGATATGAAACTGGCCACATTGAGGGACATAAGCTGACAAAATAATTCAACCCAATTTTGCCACTCTGTTGCCAAGTGACATAATATATTCACCTGTATTCACAGTGACCAAGTTCTAGTTTTCTACAGATTATAACAAAGCTTCGTGAAACATGAAGGTAATAACCACCAGGGTAGGACATTTCCAGTACCATTATCAATGTTTGCAATACACTTTGAATAAAATTTATCTTTAACTTCAAAACATTCTATATTCTCACCGTAATGGTCTGTAATCAGTGAGGGAAAGAGAAGTGGGGTTAATGCAACCTCTCACACAATCTGTTATCAATTTGACAAACACCATGTTCTTTACATACCTGGGTTACTGCAGAAGGGTCACATTCTTTAAAATATGTACAGTCTCTTCCCTAGGTAAGGTAAGTAAACTTCAGAAACAAAAACATCTTTTGGCCATCAAATTATAACAACCACCGTTAAAAAATTTTCAAAAAATGGTCAACGCCTAGTATACAGAACAAGTGAAATAAAGTCTTCTAGCTATTAAATTAAACAAGTAATGCAGATATATTATAACAGGTCAAACTCATCGCCAATTTATGAGCTTGGGAACTGGTGCCTAAAAGGTTATCGGGCAGGCCAACTGTGAAAAATATGGCAAGGAGGTAACCAGGCAACCCTGGAAGTGGAAACCACCCCTGCCAGCAGCCGCTAACTGGCAGCGTCACACTGAGAGAATACTCAGTGGAAAAAATACTTACCCAAGTGAAATACTTACCTGCACACCCACACATGACAGCAGGGAGGGAAGAGAGGGAGCAAGAATCCGCCAAGATTCGCCAGTACAAAGCGAAAAGGTGATTGGCAACGATCAGCTAGAATAGCTTGCAAAATAATGCAAAAGGATAGCGCCCCTGAAAACCCCAAGTGGGCCCGCATGTCATGCATGCTAATACGGAAACACCACTGGCTGCATTGGCTCGAGGATAACTTAGCCTAAATAAAATTTAGCATTTAAACCCTCCTGTCTTTTTAATGGTTATCTACTTGAGGAAAAGGGTACATTCATAACAGTAATTCCACAACATGCCCAAGACCCCCATGACCACAAAATTAATATTGAAAACAAGGCCCCCAGATCAAGTAATCAGGATATTTATATTTCCATTAACCAGGCCCCAGTTTTTTAAAAGTTGGATTGCTCTATCCATTGCATAAATTTGTTCTTGGTTTGCAAGCAGGTGAAAGCGCAGCAGTGTTGGTGGTCAATTCTATACAATAAAAATTGTTTTACAAAAATTTAAATGAAAATGGCATTTAGTTCCCGAGGGAGAGAAATGATTTTTTAATCTTGATCACCAACACAGGTGACATGATGTCATGTGCAAACCAGCAACATAAGTAAATAGCCCAATTCATTTCCCTACTACTGACTGGATGGTAATTTACTCTGTGCATAGTGCTTTCCAGTTTTTGAGCAATTGGGGCCCGCACTCTAGGGAACCTTTCCTTTTCACGCTCAAACGTTTCATAATATTGCTTGATTAAAGCCATGGAAGGATCCTGGTGAGCTTTGATGTTCCAGAAACTTATCTTTGGCTACTATTTCTTGAATTACCTTATTTCACTAAATGATACTTTTATGTATAAATTGTTTGCCAAATAACTTCTACAGCAAAAATCCTCTTACTTGTTCTTGTGCATAAGGAGGAGCAAGTATGTCAACAAATGCTGATGGACCAGTGCTAAAAACACAGATAGAGCACATTAAAATAATAACAACTTTGCTGCTTTTAGAAGAGTATGATATAATATTTTTGCCCAACAATAGTAAAGAACATTTCAAACTTTCCCAGCTACACCTTGGTCAAACAAAAGATGATAGTTTCAATGCCTCAATTGCAATTTAGTGAAACTGTCTGCGCCTTATGAATGGCAAGGCAATTCTATTGACTGGTGTTAACCATAGATAATAATAGACCATTTCCGAGTTCCCTTCGGCCTCTGTATCAAAACAAGGATAAGTGCTCAGCCTTTGATAGAGTAATGATTTTTCATTCTCATGTAAATAAAACTCATTTTCACAAGAAAGATTGTGCACTTGGCCTCATTATGAAAGTGAGTGTTTTTGGAACTTGAAAGTGGCCTATTACATTACATTATTATACAGTGATGCAGTTATTGTAATAAAATTTCTCTTCCCCACTGCCTACTAAACACTGATCCTAAAATTGTTTCAAAGAGGATTCTCTATACCCTTGGAGCACTAGTGTCAGGAAAAGAAGCATTTATTCAGCACATAAAACCCACTGCTCATAGGCCACCACCAGCTATGTAGCTTATTACCTAAGGCTAACTGGAGGGGGTAATGTCTTGAGAAAGAGAGACAAATATTCTTTAAATATTTGTAATAAATACTCTAAGGAGGTGAAAAACGAATCATTACCTGGTATTGTGAATGGTGTGGTGGTTGCCAGACGTTGGTGTTAATACACAGCTTCCACTATCTTCATTAAATGTTTGCTCAGTCTTTTTGCACCGAATTAGTCTCCCTGAAAATAATCATTCACTTAGACCATCACAAACAGTCATAAGATGTGACTGGGATTTAAAACTAAAAGGGTAAAAAAAAGAAAACAAGCTTTCATATCTGAGGAAAACTGGTAAACAATCTTAGCTTGGGGAAAAAATGATGAGATCTGAAATCATGAAATTTTTCTTCCATCGACAACTCACTTTATACCCAAGCAAATGCACCCTACAGCAAGAGGTATGTATCACAACAGTGAAATGAAAAAATAACTTCCCAATGAGAGGGATGTATAAAGGCAGTCATAGATTTTTAATCCTGTTGGGGACCCATTCTTTGGCCCATGATTGGGTGAAATGCTAATAATCACACCTTTTAAAATAATTTATCAAGCTTTACAGGAACCATCTTTTTCACAAATCACCATGCAGTATACTTTCAACATTGCTGATTCTAGCTGTATGCAGGGGGGTGTGTCAAATATGAGCCTAGTATACAGCCTTACTCCTCCCCGGGAAACTTTCTGTAGCTCAGTGATTACAGCGTGCCACACATGTTTGGAAGCTCATGGGTTTGACTCCTGTCTCAGGCCTGCCAAATGTTGTTTGTAAAATCCTTCAAATCCATTTCATATAGTTATGGTTCAAACTGCTTATGTACATTATCTCGTTATAAGGCAGCTATGTTCATGTTCTTTGTAATGGGGCACCCCACTCTGTTGTTATAATCTCTCGCTCCCAATCGCCTCCTTTTGTCTTCTTGATCAACAAGAAAAGGAGGCTCAGCCTTTGAAGTTGTCCCAAACTTCTGGACCAGTCAACCTTGGTTTCTCTCATCAATCCATTTTTTGAGTTCAAGCATCCATTGATTAATAACCAACGGTCACAACTGAGCTCCCTGTCCTGAGAGCATGACTATTAAGCGTTGGGTGCAAGTGTAATTTACAAGTGTAACCATTGCTTTACAATCTGACTAGCAATAGCTAAACTTTTAAATTACTGTTAAAAAAGTTTTATTAAATTTAACCCTGGGTTCAAAACCGTATCCTAGCGAGAAGCAGTGCACGCTCAACAAAGATCTTACTTTATTCCAACAGAGTTTTTTCTGAGTTGAGCAAGCCAAAAAAAAATATTGTGAAGGTAGGATGACTCATATGACAGAAAAAAAGACAAAACAACTGCTCTGTTGGTTATTGACTTTCATAAAGAATCAAGGTTCTGAAAAGAACCAGCTGGATTTTGTTAAAGTGGTACACATTACACATTGTGCGAATTTCTGCATCTCCTTCTTGTGCTTCAAACTTCTCATCAAGAAGTTATCAAATATTGACTTTTTTTTCTTCTGTTAAAATGGTTTCTCAATATCCTTCATCAGATGATGCACAACTCCACAGGGGTTACACCAATAGGGATTCACTGTATAGATCACTGTTCTCTTTCCATATTTTTTGTGCCTGCTGTAATAACCAGTTCCTCTCTTTGGGATGATTCTTCCTGATATCAATATCAGCAGGAGCACAATGCAATATTCTCTTAACAGGGTTTGTATACCTCTTCCCATATACATTTCAAGGACCCACTTTATTACTTATTTAATTATTATTTATTTCACACACAATCCAAACAAACTTTGTAATCTTGACATGGTAGCTTGACACAGTAGCAAAAGCCTTTGTATTTGCAATATAGCTTGGCTGTTGAAATGAAAAGATATTTCCTAATATAGATTCAATTTAATGGCATGTACCCCAGACAGTCTGTTCATGTATATAAAAAGCTGCATCCCCAAATTTCAACTTCAATTTTCAAAAGATGATAATAAAAAATTAATACTGAAGTTTGCTAATTCTTCGTCTTGAGCTTAGCTTTGGCTGTCTATTTGCAGCAAGCTTTCAAACATTAACTCTCAAAATAGACACCTCTTGAAAGATTTTCTTGACTTCCAATTTTTACTTCAGTGTGAAAGGCAATGGTCCATTGTAAAACAGTAATTAACAGGCCATTAACCAGAGAAAAAAGATGACATTTCGCTAAACACCCACCATTTTTTTCCAGTACAAAACATTGTCTGACAGGTGATTACAGATATTCCGTACTGATGACACATCAGTACCCAGATCTGGGTAGTGACATGTCATCAGTATGGAATTTCTCCAATTGTTGCACACATGTTATTTTGCAGGGACAGCAGGGGTGGTATTGTGAAGTGTTGGCTGCTTTCTCAGCCTAAAGAGCTTTAGAACCGAGGCAAAACAGATGTGCCAATTATTTCTCAAGAAAAACATTCTTCAGTATTTTCATCACATAAAGCTTAAAATCACACTGTTTGTAAATCAAAGTTGTCTGCAAGTTACCATTGTTAACTGGAAACATCAGCAACATTAATTCAAGCAACAAAACTTGGCAAACCACCCATTCTGTTTTTTTGGTATGTCAAAAGTTTAGTCTGTTTAGCTGCATTCTCAAAGTTATGGAACATATTCTGAGAACTTAGAGGATTGGGACTGCCAGCACATGGGGAATGAATTGGATGTCACAATTCTTTGAATGAATGCAGCTTGCCTCATTTTAAACTAGACTTTAAAAACCATTCAAATCAATGTTAATCGTTTCTGGACAATACACTGTTCAACAAGTTGTCAGTTGCTCTGAATGGACTTTTGAAGTGTCTAAGGAGAACTACCTTCCATATGATCATGATTGAAATTCATTATTCACAAATATTTATATCAATGAGTTCCTGGGTGCTACGTATATTTGAAACTTTTGTCTGAAAATTTATGTACACATTAACATTGCTAGTGTTCTTACTCATTCTTGGCATGGAAAGTGCATGTTATATGTAGAGGATATTACACGGTAGCGCGAAGATATGAATTTTATTTTCGAGTGGCAAAACAATATTTTACGAACGAGCGCAGCGAGTTAGTAAAATATTGTTTTTGCCACGAGAAAATAAAATTCATATCTTCAAGCCGCCGTGTAATGTTCTTTTTATTATATAGACAAAAAGACATTGATAAAATAATAGAGAGAAATTACCGAAATTACGTCATCGATAAACTCACGTGTGAGATTATGGAAAATAAACCACTCGAGTCCCGGATGTAGTTTTTATGAATTTTACGAGTGGTATATTTTCCAGTAAAACACTTGTGTCTATATAATAAATTCTGAGATTTAATGTAGCTTTGTCAATGATTTTTGCATGTCTATTTCTGATATTTTGTTGTAAAAATTAAACCGGGGAAGCCCATTCCTTGTAAGCCCTGTAACTTCCATTGGGCTTCCTTGCCATCAGCCTTTTTAAATATTTAGATTTTCTTGTCTTTTTGTACATCCTTATGCCAAAACAATAAACTGAACCTGTGATCTTTGGTATCAAATACTGACACAGATCATTATTTTTCTTTGGTTTCTACCCTGTTCTGTGATAAAAACAAAATTTTAATGAGCAAATTTCCTGAAATGTCTTTTTTTAATGAGATTATCAATAATCATAGTCAACTGGGAGATTTCCTGTTGTCAGCAGGTGATTGCATTGCCCATGTGTATTCAAGCCATTGCCAAGTAGTTTTGCCCTTATGGCTTGCTTGGAGTTGCCTTGCTGCTTTTTGCCTTTTCTTTATCTACTCCCACCCGCCTCTTGCTTCTTCGAAACTCCTATGTTCAGGTTTAGACGTGGCTAAATATCATTTAGGCAAAGTTAAACTTGAGCCACTTGGCCAGTGGTCTTCTCTTACTCCAGTAAGTGACCTATGGGGTGGCCCTCAAAGAATTGCAGGGCTCCTTGTGTGGTCTTTTGCTAGTGTTGTGTTGCACTGTAGCTTTGCTTGCTGATTGTAGCGGATCAATTTCTGCCTTCTTGCGAATCATTGCGGATTCTTGCTCTCTCTCCTCCCTCCCTGCTGGGTGGTTTCATAAGACTAAATATTCTCAGGTAAGTATCCTCTTAGGTGAGACATTAGTATCTCAGCTGAATTTCATTCAGTGTGACGGTGCTGGTTAATGGCCGCTCCTGGGGTGGTTCCCGCTTCTAGGGTTGCCATGGATACCTCCTCTCTGCCTATTGCATTTGGCCTCCCACTAACCTTTAAGGCACCTGCTCCCAAGCTCATTATTAGCGATGAGTTTCACGTAAGTTCTTTTGTGTTCTTTATTCTCCACTGATAGATCAGTATGACAGTAGGCATGGGCAGGTGACCCATGGTAGGTTGCCATCGAAACCCCCCTTCATTTGCATTTTACCCACATTCATTTGCTTATTGCTCACATTGCTTACAATTGACACCTACCCTCCATTTTCATTGCTGCTTATCGACAAGTTAATCATGCTAACGTGTTGTGTGCATGTCACCACCTAAGTGACTAAAACCCTGTGGAGGGACACATGTAGCCCCATATTAATTTCATAAGCTCTACTGAATAGACACTTTAATGGACACTTTATCCTGTAATTTTTATCAGCATGATAACTTTTACAATCTTCTGAGCCCAGTTCCTCAAAAGATGGTTAAGTTTAACCCAGGATTAAGACAAATTTCAAGCAAGATTTTCTTGTCTAAGAGCATGAAACTCGAGCTTACAAAACACTGTCTAGCCTTTACTCCAAGATATGGTGATGATAACACAAAATGTCACTCTAAGAAATTCATAGCAAGGTAAAAGACAAAAATGGCACAAAATTTAAATCCTGGATTAGTGCTAATCGGCCTTTCAGAAACTGGGCCCTGGTGTTCTCATTAAAAGAAAGGTGTCACATAACTCGATCAAGAATTACGTATAGTACACACTTGTAGGGACCATCAATGGCTTTTTGATTTCCCACGCAAATTCAGTACTGAGGGACAATTAAGATATGTGAGAAAAATAAAAAGGCTTGATATTGTTTTTTTAAATATGGATCAATTTCTGCTGATGCATCTTAAATGAGAAATATGATGCAATCATCCACTGACCAACACTCAAGGTTCACAAGTTGTGAGGACACTCTTTCTTGATGACACACTTTTTTACTTCTCCCCCAATTTTAGGCTCAGTTCACCAAATATGCACTACTCAAAGGGGCAATAGCTTTCTAGTTGGACACTGTCATGTCAATTATGGGTCTCCAAACTTTATGATTAGCTATAAATTAACATATAACTTAATGACTGACAACTTGACACAAGTTTTTAACTCACTTTTTAACTGGGAACGAATGGGGTTCCTGGAAAGACCTTCCATTTTGCCGTTCAGAATGGTTCTAAGTGGGAAGTAAACAAGTGTTACCATAACTTTTTTGATAATGAAAACTATAAGAACATAATGATCATACATCAATCTTAACATTATATTTGACACAACCTTATACAACCCTCAAAGACCACCTTGCTTATCACCTGAGCTGGCTGTTTGCATAAACGTAAGGAAATGCACATGTACACGTATACATATGCCTTGTCAAGGCTTGAAATTAACTTTTTATGTGGCTACCTTTACTTTAACCAAGGTTAACCTCAAGTTCAACCCATCAACAATAGATGGCTGTGGGAAAGGTGCCAGAAGAAGCAGAAGGGGGCCGCAAGCGATCTTAGAGGGTAACCATGACAACCCTGAGAGCGGCACTCACCAGGCACCGTCACAGTGAGAATCTCAGTGGAGAGAGGCGCAGATACTTACCACAACAGCATCCAGGGAGGAGGGAGGGTTGGGGCAAATAACAACTATAACTACTGCGCGCAAAAGAAACAAGATCAAAATGATTGACTCCTGCGAAAGCACTGTAAAATCACTAAGGCCCTGCTAAACCCTGAGACCGCCCCACATACAATTAGTGAATGAGACTGCTGGCGAGCATTGTCTCGCATTTAACTTAGCCTAAATTACATTTATGCTAAGTTAATTTATTTGCAGCTGACAAGGGGTTGGAATACTAAGTACCACATGGCAGCCACTACACAGTGAACCTACCAGACAGTGACCTACCACATGGTGCACCAGTTGGGCTTCACCTGACACAAAATCTCTTTTTGCGTCTATAAAATATATAGGAATTTCAAATGTATAATATTACTTTTTGCACAAGGTGTGAAGCATTTTCTATTGAAGAGTCAGGGGATCTAACATACAAGATTTCCCCTCCGCTTATTTAAAAAGTAATCAATTCAAAGTCTGACTTTGAAGAATGATTATTCAGTCACACTAATTGGAATCGATTGAAACAAAAAGCTGCCTCAAGCTAGTTAGTTCACAGATCTCAAGGGTAATGATTTCTTCTCCTAAGCAATGTTCTTGTTCAGTCATTAATAAAACTACAAATTGCAAATTGCCGAGTATTTAATTATAATTATGAGCTTCTGCAAAACAATGTCAAAAACGAGGGTCAAAAAATAATATTATCAATAGACTCAATTATGCATTTTTTCAACTATTTTTGTAATCATTCTCATCATTGTGTCTTAATGTATTCAAAGAATGAAACAACACACTTTGTGGTGCCCAATCCCCTTAGTATACTGTGTGTTAGGTTTTTTGTAGTAGTTTAATGTGGCTAAATATCATTTAGAGAAAGTTAAACTTGAGCGAGTTGGCCAGCAATCTTTGCCCACTCTGGTACGTGACCTATGGGGTGGCCCTTGGGAAATTGCAGGGCTCCTTGTGTGCTCTTTTGCTAGCGTTGTGTTGCATTGTAGCTTTGCTTGCTGATCGCAGCGGATCAATTTTTGCCTTCTTGTGAATCACTGCGGATTCTTGCTCCCTCTCCTCCCTCCCTGCCTAGTGGTTTCATAATCATTTCTCAGATAAGTATTCTCTTAGGTAAGTATCTCCACTGAATTTATTCACTGTGACTGTGCCGGTTAGTGGCTGCTCTTGGGGTGGTTCCTGCTTCTAGGGTTGCCATAGATTCCTCCTCTCTGCTCATTGCATTTGGCCCCCCACTAGCCTTTAAGGCACCTGCTCCCAAGCTCATCAGTAGCGATGAGTTTAATCCCTGGTACTTAAACATTGCAAACTAATTGCGGCAACTTCATCCATCTAGGCACGTATTCTGAAGGGGCACCCCTTAGGTTGGTAGGGCTTATTAAATCATTGCAGCTTCTTTTTGCCTAACCCTTGCCACTTCCAAGGTTTGTCTGTTTGTAATGGTAAGTATCTGTTCATGTCAGTCTTATTCCATTGCAAGTTCCAGTCTGACAGTGCTTTTTAGAAGCTGATGCAGAGGTGGCTCCCATTTGTGGGATTGCTATGAACACCTCCCTATCTTAGGCCCTAAAGAACAAACTTTTAAAATTCGAGTTACGAAGCTCATTAATTGGTGATCAGTTTATCATTCCAGCATCAGCTAGCAAACAGAGGAAACTTTAACTTGCAAAATAGAACTATTTGGTTGCCAGTTTATGACTTCAAAGAATCTTATGAAAATAGACTTTGTATCACAAGAGTATGCGAGTACAATGACAGCGCTCCTTACTTCTCCATTGCTTTGTCTTAAAACTTATAGCCTTATTCATTAATTTCATTTCTTTGACATATGAGAACTTGACTTGATCACCAAAACAGCATTATTAGTTTGACAAGTTGAAAAACTGGTGGCCATTATCAGCCACAATTTCAAGGTCTTATTGATAGACATGTCTTCGACACATAACTACTCTATTTCAATCTCTGACCTGCACTCTAATCAAATTGTCAGCCAATGGTTATCAGTTGAGTAATAGTACAATAAAAACAAGTATAACTTACTCAGACTGGATATCATAAGACTCCACTGATATTTGGCCATGAACAACTTTACTGCAAAAATAATAATAAACACACTGTATTAATCAAACTAATAATCCAGCTAACACTTACAAGCCCAGCTAATGGAAACGCTGCAAGGCATATCTGTTATATATTACTATGAAATGTAACAAGGGCGTATCTTTTTTCCTCTAATCCATGAGATTCCTACATTCTATCTGACCTGCATCGTTAACGATAGGAGACCCTGCACTTACTGAGGAAGGCTCACTTGAATAATAACATTGTACATACAAACATTCCTTAAGGCTTACTGCTTCGAAACAAACAGTCGTTTGCAAGGCATTAAAGAATTGTAGGACATGATTTGCAAGAAGGCCTTATTAATCTGACAAAGAGAAATCACTGTCTCTTCAAGCAGACTGAGCTATGCATTATCAGTCTGGATCATTTGCTACAACCAGTTGCAAAAATGTTGAGACACTACCATGAATAAACGGCCTTTCTTGCTTCAAATCGCTCCTAGTTACAGGTCTGCGAGATATAATACAAACCTCCGTCCTCCCTCCCATTCAAAGTTGTTCCTCCAAGTCTTGAGTGTGGTCTTGTATTGCTAGCAACTTTGATAAGGGGTGGAGGGGGGGAATCAAAAGCACAAGATCATGGACAGGCCATTTATGCCAAAATACGGTACAGTGTCTCACATACTTTTGCAACTGGTTGTAGCGTTTGTAATAACCCTTCAAATTTCCTTCCTAACAAAACTAATGTTTATGATCTTAAAAAATAGCATTTCCAAGATATACTTGTTTTTTCTTTCTTAACCAAGGGAAGAATTTTTATTGAGGGTCACAAGTTTGGCACAGTTGCCAAATTTTGAGGGACAATTATTGTCAGGGAATTGCCGGAATGTCACAACTTCACATTATGGCTCAAACCTAATATATTAAAACACCTTTTCTATGACTGAATGCTATTTAAAATTGACCTACAAATAGACAGTGTAATAGATAACTATGTAGTATGACATAACACAAAAACAAAATTTTGCCATGGCCTTTCTCCGCAGCCGTTTTTGTGTCTTTCAAGGGAACATTAGAACAGTACATTATGAAACAAAGAGTGACAGTGTAAGAAATAGGAAACAATGTTAAATCATCCATTTCAAGTGTGCCTAAGTGGTGAGAATAAAAGCAAGGATGGTTTTGGAAGCACTTAACAGAATGCTGTTTTTTAAATTCAGTGCAGTCCCGCCCAGGCAGACATGTAACTGCACTGGGGATTTTTTTTTATGCAAGTCATACAAACAGTTACGTTTAATGTGGCAAGACTATGGAATAGGCAGTAGCCTCTGGGCGTGAAAGACTGCTGCTTGTTAACTACCTTAGAAAACAAAATTAAGCACATCAAAATTTTGCAACTTGCCATGGAAAATCTTAAGCAATTCTTAAGTTAGTTACTTTCAAATTTAAACCTATGTATTTTAAATGTTTTTTTTTATTTTCTCTGGGGGCCACCGGTAGATTATCAAGAGATATTGAGAGCTAACCGAAAAGAAAACAGCTTTTATTCTCTGTCACACTTAGTTACTTCCTGTGCAGAAGACATATTAAGCAATCGCCCTCCCCCTCCTCCCATAAGCAGATATCCTTGGCAAGGTCAGAGAAAGTATCCACCACTTGTGCTGGCCACTTACAGAACTGACTGTTCAGGCCTTTTGTTTTTTTTGGGGGAGGGCATGATTTCAAAGGAATACTGTGTTTGCAACAAAAAATCCTTGCATGGATCATGCAGGTTAAATGATAATATATCTGCCTACTGGGATAGAAACTATACATTTAGAATGGAAAAGGAGGGATTAGATATCACACTTTCTACTTTGCATTGTGCAGCCTAGCTTAAACCTTGTCAAGACACTTACTATTATTGATCTTGACATACTTTCTGAATTCTACGCTTTGTATTGAGTAAAAGTCCAGGAGAATTTTTCAATTTGACTTAAGACCTTATTTTTGCTACTAGCTGCTGCTGCTGCTTGGAGATCACTATGCCAGTGTGTTGCCATTGTTGACTTCCTGTGGTTGATGTTTGCATTGTGACATCTTTGCCAGCACACTAATACACTAACAGGCAGTTTCTTAACAAGATTAGTTCAAAATTCAATTTTAGAAATAACAGTTGTTTTGGGTTTACGCAAGTTTGTTAAGTTTACTTCAATGACAGTTTTGTGTTTGCATTTTCTCATCCTTGCTAACAGCGTGAATTCCAATACTTAATACTATTAACAGTTATTTTGACAAATATTAAAACAGCACACAAACAACACACAAAGCAATAATTGTTATTACAAACAGATGGACACTGTCCATCATTGCACACATCCATGTTCTCTAGTTATGGCAAGGTTGTCAAAAAGATTTTAAGTAGCAGGAGAATAAGACAAAGTAACTGGCACTGGGGACTTGAGGCCCCCCATCAGGCAAGGGGTCTGGGGCTGCCCAGCCCCTCAGTGGGGTATAAGGGCAAAGGTCCAGGGGGCGAAGCCCCCAGGGGCAAAACAGATTTGAGGTTTACACACTTGCTGAAATTGGCTCTCCTGAGCTGAGAGCAATACTAACAAGAGATGTATCTGTTTTTGAAAGAAAATCATTAATCCATTTTTTTTTGTCCTAATACATGTTAGGTCCATATATTTTTGTTTACAATAATAATGCTTACTATTTACAGTAAGATTTTTTATAATGATAACAGATCATTTCTTTAGTTGCATTGCATTATCAGCACACGCGAAATTGAAACTTTGATGCTGCAAAATGCTTTTCTTACGGGCGATTTTCTCTATAAGGATGATGTTTCAGACATCTTTCCTTGGTGGGTATATTATAACAAATCCTGTCTGCACATACAGTATACCCGTCTCTTTCATCAGCATTAATTCGTGAAAAAACTAAAATGATGTCCTACACATCTAACAAATTTTTATCACAGTAAACTACATTTAACACATTTATGCATTGCATAATATTTCATTTGATTTCAAACGCATACACGTGCTAGCCTGCGAACAGCAGATGTATTTCCAGTTGTCGCTTCTCTCCCTCCGAAGGGAGAGAAGCGACGACTGGAAATACGTCTGCTGTTCGCAGGCTACACCCATGCCAGATGAATGCAAAAACCATAAGTTTGTTTGACATTTGTTTTAAAATAGAAAATAGAACATCAACACAGACAAATTTCCAAAAAACAGACACTCGAAAGCTTTTGTGTGTCTTTCTTTCTTCATTCTCAGAGAAAGATTATTTAAAGACAATGTAAACAAACCTTCGCTATTTTTCTTCGCTTCGTGGTATCATATTATGGCTATGAGAGTGGATTAGAAAACTCGTCAAAAATCATGAAAAAGAACATTCAGGGCATGATTGAAACAATTCCTTTTTCTATTTCTATTTTACAACTTTTTTAATTGTCCATTTTTACGCTTTTCTCTAACAATTTTTAGCCGGTGAAACCTTCAAAGTAGCCAGCAAGAAGCATCCGTCGCCGGTGCATTTTGACAACCCTGCATGGTATTTCTCACACTGGTTTGGTTAGCTTAATTTCTTTCCTATTTAACATCTTTCAGCCCTCGACAACAATACCAACACATACTTTGTCTATTAGACAGAAAAGAAAAACTGATGTTGATCCTCGGGAGTTTACCGAATACAAAACGTGTGGATTCAAGTCCAAATGGCTTGAAGAATTTTCATAAATAACCACATGAAATGCAAAACATGTCTCAATGCAATGCATACAGATCTTAAAGCATCTCAATCATTTGTACATGGTATGACTAATTTTCTGCGATTAGCATCAAATTTCCATCAATTAAAAATGAAAATGGCAGCTGTCTACACTGTAAATCCTTAAACAAAGATGTCACAAAAAGTTTACGCGACATGTGGAAAAACAAACTCAATCACTTTTATGTCTTTGAAAGCTTAAGGAAGAATGACTCTATTTATTGTAAAGACAGAAATTGCAGACTGCAAATTCCCCCCTCCCATTCTTGTATTCACATTGATTCACACAACGTAGGTTTGGGGACTCTCTAAAAACAAAAAGAAGGGGCTCTAATTTCCTGAGACTGGAGGTCCTAAGGACCTCTAACTTTCAAAATCAGTGAGAATTCTGTGGGTGGGTTTTATTCAGCTATTTGACAAAGGGAGAGCTAAACGGGAAAGATTTTCGTGAAATCACCAGGCATTACTAGCTAGGTATCCAAGGCATAAACCATCTGCATTTAACTTGATAGTGGACATCCATGTTATAGTCAATTGACAGCTGTCAGAAAAGGGTATCCGCCAACCAGTGTCACATGACTGTATCATGGGATTAAGTATACAACTCACTGACATGGTGTTTTTTGTGTAAGTTATGCGATGACCAGTTATTGGTTTTATTTTATCAAAGGCTAAGGTTAAAAATTTCTCACTGTCAAAGAACTGTGTCTTGTGGTTTCGATTGCATTGCCAGACTGAATGACCTGTTGTGCGCAGATATTGAAAATTACTTCTGTTTTTCTTTTATTGTATTCATTTTAAGAATAGTCGTAAAGGGCCATGGCATATATTCAAAAACTTATTTAACGTGGCTGTTTAATCATTACAAGGAAATCTCACACCTTGACTTTGATGTATTGACCTAGCTATCACTCAGTTAACAAGTGGTATATTATAAGGGGGCAAAACATGACAGGTGAAATAATGAAAGTACAAATTATGGACTTATGTCTAAACAACCACCTGATAAACTTGTTATTTTCTGCATGAATTGAATCAGGAAAGTGACTAACTTTGCCAAATAACTCTTGTACCAAACATAAAGACTTTTGCAACTCCTTGTAGTGACAGAAGAGTAAAAAAATAGGAGATATACTTGACAAACTCCACAGCTCAATCAGAAAAAGTTTAAGAAGCGCCACAGTAAACAGCATGTTTGAATTAGCATTGAGGTGGTTTATTTAGTCTATGCTGGCAAGAAACCAATCAAATATAGAGACTTCTTTGTTCATAAAACCATGTATCTGCTAAGTTATGCTTGAATTGATCGAAAACTAGGTTGCCCTATGGCCGGCACATTGGGCACTGAACACAAACTTGTAAGCACATCTGCTGAGTTCATTATGTTTACATTTACCAACTATTTTTGCAATCAAAAGTGTTCAAAGGAGGATATGACTATCTTCCTGTCATGCATTGTGGTCAAACTAAATTATCAAATGGCTGAATCCCAGTGTAACTTATTTGAAAGTGTCGCTGCATAGGTAACATAAAGGCACAAGAGAGATACACAAAATAATTCTTTAGAAATGCGGTACATTCCATGTAAATTGTATTGATTGTATGATAGAATTTTACGAGGTAGCTATAGATACCCTTCTCAGGTCCAAGATTTTGTTTACCATTTAAATTGTTCATCAAGATTGTTTGACTTTATGTGAATAAAAGCTTACTGATAAACCCTTGCTAACGGGGTCTGAGGTGAAATAAATATTCAATAATACTTCTTTAAAGCTTAGTACATATTCTGTAATAAAATATGCATTGAATGTAGAAGGTATCAAAGAAGCTGGCTACGAGGAACTCAGCAGGGAATGAGTAATAGATCCATGATTAACATGGCCAGTAGATATCATCTTATTGAGCTGGCCAAAATACTGACATGTAAGCATTTTTACCAGCTTCAAAGACTGGTGACCTCCAACACTACAGAGTCAAAAGGAGTCAACCGGGTTCTTCAGAATATTTGAAGTATAATAGCAAGGATTTTTGTCTCAATTCTCAATCGACTCCTTGTTTGATTACCGAAATGAATAATTAAAAAATACCATGCATACAACAGAATAGCAGTGACATATGACGGGAGAAAGGTCACATGGTCGAATCTTACAAAAAACAGACTAATTTAATCAAGAAATTGTTCTGTTCTCTTGGTGAAAGAGAAGAAATTATGCAAAGATCAACTTTACCTCCATGTCTCATCCTTGAAGCGGTGAAAATTTCTCAGAAACTTTAAGTAAAATTCAAGTTTTCATCATACAGACGGGAAACAATCACCCTGAAATAGGCGCAAGGCCCACTGGGAAGATGCTCCTTTAAAGTGTTCTAAACACCCTGATGATTTGAAAACAAGTCCACCAATTCTGACAAAGTAGTGATTACATACAAAAAATAAAGCAAAGCCATACAAATATTCTACAAATCAGGAGTGAAGTTTCCAGTAAAGCATAAGGTTGAGCAAGTGTTCCAATAGTCTGCTTGTAAGTGAGCACAAGAAAGCAAGGCATGCAAATATCTAACTAACACACCTTGAGAATCAAACTGCTATCTCAGGGATGTAGCCAAGGAAAAGCTATGCACGCTTTTTTATTATTCAAGCGGACCTTTTTATGCAACTGCTCCTCCAAAATTACCCAATGCCTTTGCTTTCCCAAGCAATTTGAGCCAGCTGTAAGCTCTTTTTTAGCCAATGAAATAGTGGGCAGCTCACTCTTAGCTAGATCTCTGGTATCTGAGTGAAATACGTCTTTCCCTGCAGTTGTTCATGCATAGAGCAAGAATCGTCAACTTTATGAAAATGCTTTCATGATCTTTGAAACAATACTTGCCAAAAATACTAAGAAAACTTCAACGCACTCAACAATGTATGATTTCATTTCTACTTTTATTGTAGTATTTAGCACTGCTTACCACAAACCAAACATGCCAGGGTGGTCATGAAGGGGAATTGAACATCCTTTCTTGAGAATAAACACAGCTAAAGTAAAAATGCGACACTCAAAGATAGATACATGTGTTGCTGGTGCTCGAGAATAGCTTCCATTGCTCTTTTCAGGAAGAACAAGTTTGATGTCTTCTGCAGTTACAGAGTCAAGCTAAAACAAAAGGGATGATGCCATATTAGAAAAATAGAAAATGAATGAATACATTAAGGGGGTATTACACTCTTTGTAACAAGTTACTAGGAAATCCATTTATGAAAGACACTACAAAACACATTTTCGGAAGGAATAAAAATAGTACATGTACAGGGCTTCTGATATTTTGTGCGGACATGGAGCCGCTAAATTCAGGTGAATCAACAAAATCTCCCGAAATTCACAAAAACACATGAAATACCTACGAGGTTGCAAGTGAAGTGATTGTGCTACCCTCACTAAAGCCAATTACTGTTTAATATCTTGGTATATTATTGAGCTATTTTGAAAAAATGGCTCATATGTCAGTGGAGTGAGCGTATGTGTCTTGTGGCTTTGTATGTTCGGATGTTTGTTGCAAGAGCCAATAAGGTTGAAGGTACTATGAGTTGATGCTTAGGAACCTATGAGATCTTGGCATCTATTTAAACATGCCGTTGCTAAAAGTCGAACAAGGGCACTTCGAGACCGCCATCTTGATTCTTCACAGTTTTTTCGTCTTTTATTATGGCTACAGGTGTTTAGAAGCATTATATTAAATATCTTCATGATTCAAATGCCGTGTACAGTGATGCAGCTGTTTAGGGGTTCATATTCTATTGTGGATGCTGCTTCAAGACATTTCTGACCGAATTCAGCTATTGTGAACAGTACAACGCACGTATTTATGAGTTCTGTTTCACCTGCTTCAAGGTAGAGTATAAAAGATCAAATATTTTCAAAGCTCTTCCAATGAAACAATAATATTGATATTTAGATATGGACTTTAATTCGAAAGTATACGGCTTATAAATTGTCGTTTTAGATGTTTGAAAGGCAGCTTATTTTTTTGGAAGTAAGTACAGAGTATTGTTAATCCTGTAAACTAGCTTTATTTTCTCACCTACAAAGTTCAGCAAACCTTTTTTGTTACGGCAATTGAAACATGAATAAGAGAACAACATGATACATCCTTCCTGCTTACTAAGTGTTATAGTTATTGAAATGTATTTTATTTAGTAAAGATTCGTAACTTAAGGCTGGTTTCCATATGATCGCTACGATCGCTGAGAAAAAATGTTCAGTGATTGCAGCGATCATAGCGATCATATGAGTTACGCATCTTTACTAAATAAAATATGATAGTTGTCGCTGCGATTGCTAGAAAGTGGTTTCCGTATGATCGCTGCAATCACCGAACTTTTTTTCTCAGCGATGGCAGCGATCACAGCAATCGTAGCGATCATATGGAAACCAGGCTTAAAGTAGAAACAGTTGCGTTAGGGAATATTGTTTTATTGAGTGGAATAACATGATATGAGTAGAAATATATTTCCGCAGTTTCAATTGATTATTTTCTTGGAAGTTAATAAATGGTAGGCTATCAAGCTTCGACGTTTCATGAAGCATAATTTAATTGCAGATGTTGTAAAGCCGAGGTGACTTCTTAAAATTGTTTGAGAAAACTTTCTAGTAAACAATTTGCGTTTTGTTACGTACGAATTGTAAAAGGGCTAAAGTCTAACATCTTCACATGCAAATCATGTGCATGAGTGATTTTTATAATTCTGTTAACTCGATTACTGTGTGATAACTTAAATTCCCTCACGTACAAACCACGAAAGGGGCAAAGTCTGACACTTTCACGTGCAAACTGTGTGATTCTACATCTCATTCTTGCTTTTCACAGTAATAAACAATTATTGGATGAGGTTTTTGTGATATCCAGAATAATCAAGGTGGAGGTAGGGGTTATCGGCTTCAGCCATCATAAAAACCGAATCTAATAAGTGTTTTATTATACATTGAATGAATTCTTTCTTTCTTGCTTTGACATAAAATGTATGTTTCAAAGTTTGTGTCACCTCTTTCTTTTCCTCAGGTTCGTTCAGTGTTTTCTCTTTCACGTAATCAGTGAACAGCTCCTTGCCACCTTCGTCGACCTTTTGTGTTTTGTGTGTCCTTGTCTTCAACTATTTTTTGATGACCAACGAAGCAAACGACGGTCAACGAAGCAAACCTGGAAGTTATGTTTTTGCTTCTTCACTGATGGCAAGCAACACAAAATGTGCAAACTTGACATGATTACCCTTAGAAATCATACACTGCGGTCATACATGACATGATTACCCATGACCTTGAGTGTCCTTGACATGATTATTGTATAATCTGCAGTTAGATGACGTTCCATGTGCTGATTTTGAAAATTCACTGTATGCTTTTGGCCAGTCAGTAAAGAGATAGTGAGTTCAATGTATAATAATAATAGAAACTTGAACTATGAAGACATCTTTAGTTTTGTAACTAGTGCCTAAGCAAAGGCTCTTTTCTTTCAACAAGCAAAAACTCATAACATTCTTAGAATTAAGTGGTCAGAGTTAAAGACTGTTTCATGAAAGTAGAATTGCACGTGATAACCTTGTGAATAATGATGCAACCATCCTCAACAATGATGAAAATCTTAGCTATTCAGTATTCGACGACCTTCATTATTTTAAGAAACCATTAAGAAATCTTGAAACGTTAGAGTCTTCCCTCTAAGCATGTTTGGTGAGTTGGTCTTCATAGTACTTTAACAATTTTTTTTTTTTTTCACCAGATGTTTGAAGGAAAGACAAAGAAAACTGAATTTATTAGATCGAATCAGCTATGCGCTGCGGTTCTGGTTTTCATTAATGTACAGCAATACCCAATTTCGCACAATTTAGGATTAAGACAGAAGATTGCCCATAATGTTACACTGAAGCATTCAAAATAGCTCATGCACGTAAAACATGACTATGTTTTTTGAGGCCATCATTAACAATACAAACAGACAAAACATTGTTAAGTTTCAAATTATCTCTTGACTACATGTTATATGAAGTTAAATGACTTGCAGCAGCACTAAATTTGGTTAAATGTAATTTAACTTAGTTAACCACCACAACCTTAGCAGTCAAGAGGGTTCATGAGCTTACCAGCCAAGCAGTTCACAAGCTTAGTGGGCATCCAGCAGTCAATCCCATAAGTGCGGGCTCACATGGTACCTGGTAACTTTGTGCACTGCTAGGATCTGTAAGTTCTTCGTTGAGCATTTGTGCTGTGGTCTATGGAGTGGTTCATTCAGTGTCCCCCCTCCCATCCCTCATTTTTTTCCTTCCACTGTTTCATCAGTGTGACGGGTGCCTGGAATGGGGGCTAACGACAGGGATTTTCCAGCTATGGGGTAGTATTCTATCTAGGGACTGGCTGGCCACAATGAGTGGACGCCCCTGGATATCCCAGGCACCCACCTTCCACTTAAATGAGGCAGTTAGTTAACTACCAAGATTGTTAATCTGTACTGCTAAGAAATTTCAGCATGAATAATTATTCCAACAACTTTCAGTGAACATGGAGAAAGGTCATTAAGAGCCATGGAGTTAATAAACAGTTTTGTCAACGATTGTAGGTTGATTCGCAATTTCCTTTGTTTCCTTAATTGATGAATAATTAGGGCTAGGAGACAAAGGAAATTGAGAATCAACCTAGGTTAAAAAATTTAATTTGAAATCAAATTTAACATGCAACAAATATGTATCAAGTTCTCTGAACTGGAACAAGCAGCGTGAGGAAGTACAAAAGAAAGCAATCGTGTCCTTACTGCCTTACAACGCAACATTCATTCTGCTCCACCCAAAGTTAAAGAATGCGCATATCAGACGTTCATGCGCCCCATCACAGAGTATGCTGGTCCAGCTTGGAACCCTCATACCTCAAAGGGAGTTGCGACGGTTGAATCAGTTCAAAGGTGAGCAGCAAGATTTGTGTGCAACAACTATCAGAGATCCAAAAGTGTCTTAAGTATCAAACTTAACTGGTCATCACTGGAAGAATGAAGAATGCTAATTGATCTCTCACTTTTTTATAAGTTCCAGTATAACTGCACGTGACCAGAGGAGCCCACAATCCTAATCTCCAGGTTGTTATTACACATGCGTCGCATGTATGTAGCCAGCACTTGTTTGGACTTCCACTTAAATGAATGGAATGCACAGAATGCACTTTGATCATGTGCATTAAGACCTTCTGTCACTCATAATCTGGTCACGTGTGTTTTGACCATCTGTCACATGTAACTTATGCAAAGTACAGCGTTGGAGCAAAAGTGTTTTGACGTTTGATCGTTCTCGCCTGCACTCCATAACCTTTAATAGTTATCACTAGTTTAGTTGTTTTGCCCTTTCCTAGTGAGTTATCTCTTAACACCTTATGTACAGTATGACATATACAACCTTTAACTTGCTTTTGTTGATGCATACAAGTACTCTTTTTTTGGCCAATATATTCAGGTGTGGAACAGTCTTCCATAATTTGCTGTTATGGCTTTGTCTTTGCCCATGTTTAAGTCCACAGTCAAAACCTATCTTTCATACCTACTGCCCAATTGTGCCACCTATTGCAACGATTAGCATATACCATTGGCAATATCAATGAACTGTTCAAAAGAGAAAGTCAACTTTTTGCACAACTTCATACTAAATATTAAGTAAAGAAGCTATAATGCACAACATGGCAAAGAAAACCAATGGCAACTTTATACCCTCAGTCTCTGTGTATCAAAATTTAACTATTTTCTCATTGTGTTAAAATGTGGCTTAATATCATTTAGGCAAACTTAAACTCGAGCGAGTTGGCCAGCGGTCTTCTCCCACTTCAGTATGTGACCTACGGAGTGGCCCACGGGGAATTGCAGGGCTCCTTGTGTGCTCTTTTGCTAGTGTTGCTTTGCATTGTAGCTTTGCTTGTACATAGCGGATCAATTTTTGCCTTCTTGCGAATCATTGCAGATTCTTGCTGATCGTAGCGGATCAAAAAGCTGCTTCTAGCTAGTTAGTTCACAGATCTTAAGGGTAATGATTTCTTCTCCTAAGCAATGTTCTAGGTCAGTCATTAATAAAACTACAAATCACGAATTGCCAATTATCTAATTACAATTATGAGCTTCTGCGATACAATGTCAAAAATGAGGGTCATAAAATAATATTATTAATAGACTCAATTATACATTTTTTGAACTATTTTTGTAATCATTCTCATCATTGTGTCTTAATGTATTCAAAGAATGAAACAACACACTTTGTGGTGCCCAGTCCCCTCAGTATACTGTGTGTTAGTTTTTTTGTAATAGTTTAATGTGGCTAAATATCATTTTGAGAAAGTTAAACTTGAGCGAGTTGGCCAGCAGTCTTTGCCCACTCTGGTGCATGACCTATGGGGTGGCCCTTAGGGAATTGCAGGGCTCCTTGTGTGCTCTTTTGCTAGTGTTGTGTTGCATTGTAGCTTTGCTTGCTGATCGCAGTGGATCAATTTTTGCCTTCTTGTGAATCACTGCGGATTCTTGCTCCCTCTCCTCCCTCCCTGCCTAGTGGTTTCATAATCATTTCTCAGATAAGTATTCTCTTAGGTAAGTATCTCCACTGATTTTATTCAGTGTGACTGTGCCGGTTAGTGGCCGCTCTTGGGGTGGTTCCTGCTTCCAGGGTTACCATGGATACCTCCTCTCTGCTTACTGCATTTGGCCTCCCACTAACCTTTAAAACACCTGCCTTCAAGCTCATCACTAGCAATGAGTTTAATATGTTGTGGTTCAATTTTATCCTTGGTTTAAAGTTTTTCCCCTTTGTTTTTAGGTATGGTAATGAATGATAATGAGTTTGAAACAAAGGAAAATGAAATTTGTACCAAGGATAAAATTGAACCACTACAAATACATGGGAACATTGTGTCAAAACAAGCTCGATTGGACCAGATTGGTATACAGTATGTGGTCCTTGGTCTGGACAAAAAAGACGTAAATGAGTATTTCTTATCTTGGAAGGAGAGTAGTGGGCTGAAATTTGTCCGTAAGTTGCCGTAACATTTTACTAACTTGTGACAAATTGACAGCTTCTGAGCTTTGCCGAAAATCCTGCATCATAGAAAATGACCACTCTTTTTGATGGCCCCTGATCCAGCCACTCATTCCTTGGTCTGGCCACTTCGTAAGCCAGCATGCCAACTGTGCGCAGAAAAGAAATGTTCCAAGCACAACCTGATGTAAATTCCTGTATATTTTCTATAGGCATCATTTAAACTTTGAAACGAAAATGAGATTTCTGTGTAAAGATATAGTTTGGTCTCATTAAGAATTAATATTTTTGCTGCAGTATGAATGTGTGTTGTGCAGTTACAGTGAGACCACTGCAAAATCACCACTATTTTAAATGAATTCAATCAAAGTTTAGAGAGAAAGTAAAAACAAAAAATTTGTTGTCGCTTGTTGTCCTCAAGAAAAACTTCCCATCAGGAATTTTGTCTTAGTTGTGCAGCAATGGCAAAGAATTCGGCTGAAAAGCATACATCATCAACTTGAACGCTTCATGTGGTTTTTATTATTAACTCCAATCATTGAAACTGCTTTACTTAAAACGTGACTCAAAGTTGAAAGATTCTCACTTCAATTCATTAATCTTAATTTACTAAGAACTAAACGAAAAGAAGACTGAACTTTCTGAGGCTCTCCCTTTTCAGTCACTATTTGGCTGCTTTATGTTATTGTCCGGTGGCTAGACCAAGGACCTAATATGCAATATTTACTTTGGAATATAAACTATAACTTTCGTTTTAAAATTCAACCTGTCGACCAAATTTTTTTTCAAGTCAAAAAAACATTTCTTGTGCACTGTGTACACCACAAATTAGCTTTCTTAATGCACTAAGTTGCGTATGCCTGAATTCAAGATACAGGGCTGTTGCTAAAACTTCGAGTTGCCGGGTATATGCAAACAGTAGGAGGGGAATTGTATAGCTAGGAACTTCTTTGGTTTCTGTTTTCCTTTTGTTTCCTATGAAAGTAGCCGGGTCTCACGCTCATGGTAACCGGGGAAAATACCCAGTCCCCAGCTCTTAGTGACAGCCGTAAAGATATATCCAAGAAACTTAAGGTGCCATACAAAACAAAAATAACAGAACAAAATTTACCTATGTTTGCATTAACTTGATTCTCCAGCCTTCGCCAACATCAGGAAAACCTCGAATCAAGCTTAAGAAGGCAAAGAGATCAATAAAGACTAGGAAAGTTTCGTTTACATTGTAACCTTATTTTCTTCCCGGAAATTACATCACAAAGTAAAGCCAGCCAGACCTAGGCCAGACCAAGGGCCACATACTGTATTCTACCAGATTGACAACATACCACAAATGGTACTATTATTTCCCATGAGCCATTTGAAATTTATTGTAAACTCATCCACAGTTTATGTCTACCCATTCAAAAATTCTTAAGTTATTCAGTCATTTAGATAACCTGTTTGAAAATTATCATGAGTCATTTGTCTGTTTGTGCTAACTGTTTGGAATACTTAATAACCTGCTCAACTGTTTGATGAATGGTTTGAACGACTGAGTAAGCAATTCACCTGTTTGAGTAAGCCATTTAGGATACTCAACAACCCAGTCATTTGATGGATGCATTTAAATAGGTTTTTTGGTTTTTACAGCTGTGCATTGAACCAGTTTAACAAATTAGTGTACCTTTTTGTGAGAAAGGTCACATGTCTTATTTGTCCTTTGGTACTGAAATAAATTGGAGGGAAAACCGAAACACAAGTGAATTGGTTACTGCAACCATATAAATTGATTATAAACCAACAACCACAAAACATGCTAAGCTACTGTCGAGTTAAGATTCACCGTTTTTGCCCACTGAGGACACAGAAGTTTATGAAAGTTATCGTACCTGATAAAAATAACTGGAGAAAACGTAATTTTATTCCCACTAAGTCTATTCAATAGAGCTTTAAATACATACAATGATAAAACATCAACTCTATTTATCTGTAGAGTTCCAAGAATTGCTTCAAATAATCTGAGAAATGTATTGCCTGTATTCAAGGGAAATTACTCGCTTCCAAACTCCTGCCTTTGCAAAAAACATGGCTTTCGACATGAATGTTTCTGAATTGATTAAGTGTATACACAAAAATCAAGGGCCTTGATTTGAGAGAAACTACATCATTGCCAAAGTGCCAAGACATGATCAAAATGCTGCATCATTTTAATCACTGCTAAAAATTAACTGCATGCTAATCACATGATCCATTTGTATACAACGAAGGATTTTTTAACACTCAACCAACTTAGAGTGCTCACTATAAAAGTGGAACAAAACAACAACAACAATATAATAGTGCACATTGCAACTGGATGATAACTACATGAGTACATTTGAAGCAAGACTTTCATAAGACAGGCATTCACTAAAATGTTATGTCAAACTCAGACAGCTTATTTGAGTGAAGAATAAAAACAAGGATTACAGGAGTTCGATGTACAATACTATTTTTTCCATATGTTAATACATAAACAAAATGTCAGATTTCAATTCCAGAAGGGCATCTGTAGTAAACTTGCAAAACAGTTTATACACAGTTTGCTGGATTTTTGAAAACTTCCTTTGCAAAACCTTTTTTGTTCCAACTGCAGCCTCAATTTGTAACTGGCAACTCTAGGTTTCTGTTGTTAGAAAATATAGTATGAATGCATTTCATGACAAAATGATTGTAATATTTTGTGTTTGTTTACTCTAACTTGTGAAACTTCTGTAACTAGTTTGAACCTTGGCACTTCATGGGTTGTGTAAAAATCAGGTGCTCTTTGGCTGCCTAAAACACTTTGGTACTAATATAATATCCTCCTTTCTCCTCCATGAATCTTTTTGCTGCGGAGCGACCGAAGGGAGCGAGCAGCAACATAATCAGGATTTAAAGGAAATATATAAGGGGCGACGAATTCTCGAATTCATCACTTTTTACCACAATGCATTGCATTTAACCACAGTTTTTACCACAATGCATTGCATTTTACCAGAGTGCATTGCGCCATGAACAACTCAAATAAAAACACGGGTATAGGGAAAGTTCGGTGGGTGAGAGAGTGCATCGTTCGCTGCTCAGACTTGGCAAATTTTCTACTGCACGGTTAGAGGTCTTACCAAATTTTAAGACACGCAGGAGTCTTTCAGATGAGTACGATGGTTAACTTGGGGATTGGATTTCAATTCAAGAGTCTTTGACTCGTCCAGGTGTTAAACCTGACGGACGGGTCCTGACGAGAAGATGAGCATTTTCTCTTCAACTCCGGAACACAGGGGATATGCAAATTCCAGCTTGCTAGAAGGTGATGTGAAAGTGAGAAAATGTCATGCAATGCTATTCTTAAGAAACTGTATGAGCCGAAAATGGATGTGATTTTAACCATTCGCTTCAAACTAACTGCGGAAATCGAGATAACAAAACATATGTTTTGTGTCCTACTTTGCAGACGAGGACGTGTATCGGCGTTTTGAAAAGCATAATTATGTTCTTTCATTCATTTATTGCCATGGAATATGCGTTTACATTGTTTTTTCACTGTTAATAGCTCGGTTAATGCGGCTGGCGATCATCTTGCCGGCGGAAGTTTCAAGGAAAAGGAATAAAATGAAAGACCTTTCCCAGTGATTACGTAGTCATAGGGTTCGAGTCCTACCGAATTATTTATTCCTACTTTCTTTTTTTTTCCCGTTTTTTTCTATAAATGTATAGCTAAATAACTGTTACTTAATAAAGTGCAAAAAACAGCAAGAAAAGTATTGTGTTTCCAGAGAAAATATTGTGCACCGTATATTAAATATATAGATAAACAATCTGAATTTCTATTATTTCCTACAATTTACTGTGGGAAAACCAGAGTTGATAACCACTTGATCATTTTCTAAACAACGTTCTCACGAGTTCTTTCTATAGACTGATAGTAATTATTCTAGTACTTTCCAACATGTGAATAGGACATTCAATGTCATTTTTGATTCTTTTAAGTCTCACTGCCTAACTAATTCCAGTATCAACAGAATGTGCTGCAGCATTACTATCTTTTTGATACCCTAGTAATAAACTTTAAACATAGATGTTAGCATCTTAATTCACCCTCAGTCTACTTTTTCCATTTGAATCATCAGGGTTTCCTGTCACCCCTGGCAACCAGAAATCTTAGTTTTTACATTAAAAACATGTGCTGTGAACTAGTAAGGCCAGAATGTTTGGCTCCCTATATACTTCTCTTTGAGTACAGCCTTAATTTCAACATTTTATATGCTTCAAACTTTATGCTCCTGCTGCTGCTGTCATAATGCTTTCACAAACTTCAATGCAGGATAATAAATTGGCTTCAGTGTAAACAAGGATAGGGACTGATAAGAGACTTTTACATGTAGATCGAAATTTATAAAAGAATACAGTAGTAGATGCATTGGCCGGCCTGAAAGTATTTGAAATTTTCATAGAATTCACAAACAATAAATGCATTTCACTTACATAAGCCTCCAACGCAGCACCTAAACAAATAAGGTTTTCTTGGCAGTGTAAATGGTAAAACATATGTAATCAAACACCACCACCCTAGTTTTATTCACTTAAACAATTTTTTATAGACAAAAAATAGTGCTAAATATATTTCATTGGTTGAAACAACTGAGGAAACTTAACCAGTGATCGCGAAACGTGGTAATCCATTAAAATGGAGGTTACATTGGTGAGATATAATGTATAAGCCTAAATAGCACAATTACCAGTAACACTAACACATGACCACGAATATCGTCGGTGAAAAGCGTGTTTTCGTTTATCGTTTCCCTCAGTTTACAAGGCAGAAAAATCAGAAAACAACTCCAAAGGAAAGAATGCCATTGAACTCACACCCAAACACGGCACGTGAAACGCGAAACGTTCCGTTTTATGTCGTGTAATTATTTGTTCGGCGAAAAACAGAACAGCAAGAAACACACGTGTAACTGTTCACTCTTTAAAAAATCAACTATTTCCGGCGATATTTTCCCCTGAGATTCTTTCGCTGAATGTTAAATCCAATTCGCCGGTATGACTTAGCTTATTACAATAAACAAAACACGCATGACAAAATGTGCGTGCGTATCGTCATGAAAACGGAACACATACACTTCACAAAATATTCTTAAATATCATTATGACATGACTTACCAGTGTTTTTAACCTTTCAAAGTTTGAGGGAAATGCTGCTGTATCTCCAGCCACAAACGTTGCCAGCGCTTGTCTTCCAATTCTTTGGATAAGCGGAGCCATTTTTGTCGCCACTCATAAATTTTCCTGCTTCAACAACCTTTCACCACACCTAGTACTCAGACCGCTGCCGGTCGCTCACGGCCGGCCATCCTTGTATGACCGCATTTTTTTGGGTCAGCAGTAGAAATTTTAAGAGTATGTTCTACTATCAACACTATATGATTGTTACACCACGTACCTACCGTGCTAAGGACAAAATTGGCGCGAGAATCTCACTGCTCGGTCTGTTTCCTTGTATTTTTCACGATTTTTGAATTCGAAAGAGGCGATGTTGACTGAAGGAGCAGTACAGGTATATTTCTTCTTTTAATTTTTGACTTTTTCCTTATTTTGCCGTCGTTTCATGTCGAAGCACATTTGAAGTGGCTTTTTAATACTGTCAAGTTTTCCCGCGAAAAATTCGGTCTTCGGATATAATAAACACTGTATAAACGAATTTAAGGTCAGAATTAACTAAAAATGCTTCTACTTTGATGTTGTTTTTACAGGACATCTTAATCCGGCCCTCTGAAGAACATCCTCATGGGCCAGTTTTTCAAATCTTGGTAAGTTCTTTATAATAGGTTCAGCTCAACCGTCTAGATCAGACAATCCTCTGCAAAATAAATCAGCGAACAAAAGTGCACGAGGAACTTTGGCAGTCGAAAATAAACACAAATATATCGGCTTAAGGCTGGAATTCACCGGAATTCACCGGTGATGGAATAATCACAAACTGCACCTTAACAAAAAAGGTATTGCTATTTTAGCTAGTAATTTCGTAAATAATATTGTTCGTTGACATGATTCCTATTCAACAACTGTGGCGACACCTAATTCCACCACCACAACTAGTGCCAGGAGCAATTCGAATCCTGATTTTATATTTTCCAAGGGTCGTGGGTTTAAAATGGCTAGCTTAAATATTACAAGTCTATTGAAACATATAGATGAACTTCGTATCATGATGGTCAACCCATTGATTTATTGTTTTTACTGTATATTAATGACCTACCTAATTGCTTGCATTTTTCACAACCTAGAATGTATACCGATGACACCAGCCTAACCTATGCCAGCGCAGATTTAAAACTCATAAATGACTGCGTTAACGACGAATTAAACAAGGTGTATATATGGCTATCGGCTAACAAACTGACCCTTAACTTGACTAAAACTGAGTTTATGTTAGTTGGGTCGAGGCAGAAGCTATCAAAGCTTTCTGAAACTCCTTCTTTTATGATAAACGACCATCCCGTGATGCAAGTGTCAACGGCAAAATCTCTTGGAGTGCATATTGACCAAAACTCAAGCTGGGAATGCCACATACAGAGTATTTGTAAAAAGATTGCTTCTCCTTTGGGTGCAATTAAAAGAATACGACATCTTATTCCTTTTAATGTATTAATTAATGTTTACGACAGTTTAATTCAACCGCATTTTGATTACTGTAATGTCGTATGGAGCAACTGCGGCATTGGTCTTTCCGATAAGCTGCAGAGGGTCCAAAATCGTGTAGCCCGTATTCTAATGCCCGCTAATTCTGATTGTAATGTGGACGATTTGTTCCTGGCACTGGGTTGGCGTAAGCTTAAACACCAAAGACAAGTATAAAACCGTACATGGGATGACTCCCGACTATCTAACATCTAAATTTGTATCTCGTGATGAAATAACTTCTTATTGATTGAGGAATACTGAAAATAAATTAGTCCTTCCACTGCCCCGTACCAATTATTTAAAGAAAAGTTTCTCCTATAGCGGAGCGAAGCTGTGGAACAGCCTATCCCATGATTTAAGATCTGCAGATTCTTTACATGATTGTAAACGCAAACTGTGTTGCAACAGTTTTGAATGAGATCATACATTAATACAGTTTTGCACGGCATCCTTGAAAAGCAGCTTTTATTTGTAAATAGCTAGGTAGTTAAAATTTTATGAATATATTTTTAATCAGAGAGTTATAGATCTTAGATTTTTTGTACATGCTGAAGGAATTTTAACCGTGTTTAAATAAAGTTATCTATCTATCTATCTATCTATCTATCTATCTATCTAAGTGTTAGACTCTTAACGTTAATCCGAACTGCAGTGCGTAATGATTTACTGACAACAGTGCTTTGACCCCTTTTATGACTCTGCTGCTGTAACCTATGGGGGAAACTAGGCTGTTGCAGCTGCAAGCAGAAGTGGAAGAATTAAGCCAATCACAGCACTAGCCTGTGAATACAGCCTTCTAAATTTCTTTCTCCTTGCTGTTAGACATGTTTTGTGGAAGAGATGTCTGTGATTTGCCCTAGCGGCAAGGAGCTAGTAGAGACTGCTTTTTTCACACTTACCATACCACATGGGAACAAACACTGTTGTTGGTCTTTTATTCTTTCGATCCTGTTTCTGAGTCCAAGAATCAGGACAACATTGTATGCAATGAAATCATACCAATTCTTGCTACACCAATGCTGATGCTCAATGATGAGCATTGGGCAAAACAGTTTTTATGTTTCTTGTCCAGTTAATATAACATTTAATCCTGCTGAACGAAGAGAAACATTAATTTGGGGAGAGACATGTGTATCGATCTCTTGAAACTTTTGGATGAGAAGTGGGGAAGTTTGGTATCAGTAATTATTGTAAAGTAGACATGTTTTACTTAGAAAATGACACAAATCAGCATAATTCTGTAACTTTGCATTAATTCTGAAAATACTCTTTGAGAATATTTTGGATTTCAGCTTTTCAGATAGTATTTGTGACCTTGTTTGGGAAGACATATACTAACCATATTCTGTTAAATAGTCTAGACTGTTAGCTATATGTTAGTCATCTGTTAGGCAGATCAATGAAAACCGTTTAGAGGCATTTGGCAATCCGTTTACAACTCACGCATATCTGTTAGAGGCGTTAATCAATTCATTAGCATCTGATCTGAACCCATTAAAACGTTAGCCGTATCCATTACTGATGGTCAATCCGTTGATGTCTACCTGAAATAGTCTCTTGTAGAAGTTCCAATAATATGGGTCTGTAACACTGTTGCTTTAGAAAAGTTATTTTGTAAGAACTTGTAACCAACATTTTAAGGCTTCCTTTCGAACAGTTTTCACCATTTCTCATGTGGTGGTGTCAGGGCTGAAAATAATGGACAGTAGGTTGCTGGTCATGATTTTTTAGCCCAGGCGAACTTTGATTCTGGCCAGTCAAATAATGAATGCTATAATTTTTTTTTGCCCAAAGAATATCGAATTATGCTGGCAATAGATTGTTATTACTACATTGACGTTCACATTTTTGACAACAAGTTGGTGAAAAATGCATTCACACGTTGTAGAGTTCCTTTCCGTGGTTTTTGCACGTTTTAATGTTCGTTGTACCTTGAGTATTATCGTACGGCGGTGTCTGAAGTCTCTAAGGGTAAAAAGTGAAGCGCACATCCTTTTCAAACACTCAAGGTTCAGGAAATAGAATGCATATACAGTTCAACAAACTTTGGGAATTACGAAAAAGAAAATTAATTTGGGTTATTTCACAAAATCTGCACACGTTTGTCTTACGTTGATGTTCAGAAATGACCATCTGTGAAACTTGATCTTTTTCCTGCCTGGCACGTGATTGAAAGTCTCCTCCTCAAAGAGGAATCGTCACTAATATTTTCGGGAAAGAAGTTGATTTGCATTATAGCCTCCCACTAATGAGGCAGGAATGCATGATGAACCCCTAAAAACGTCTGCGGGGGAGGCTAGATTTGCATTGGCGAGAAGTTTCTTTCACAAACAGCGTGTTTATCATCAGAAGTCAATAAATATACAGCAGAGCTTTCATTTGGGTCATTGCAGAACATTTTATCGCAAAGGGCTCAAATATCAACAAAAATTTGCAAAAAGTTGTTTACAAGAACGAGAATCTAGCACCGAGATAGATGATGACCTTCCCTCTTGGTTAGCTTAACTTTTTATGAGACCATTCTGGAATTGAGTCTGCAAACGAGATTCATGTTCGACATAAAAGAAAGTATTATTAATCGATGCGCTAACATAGCTATTTGTCAGTTTTCTAATGGCTAAAGGATTACAGTTAGTGTTGGTCTTCTCAAATAAGGTCACATTTAAAGTGTCTTAGGTTTGGTGTTTCTTATTAATATTAATAATAAATAATAATATTTATTGCTTATAGCGCGCAAATTAACATTCGAATATGATCAAATGCACGTTACATCTAAGATACCTAAAACTATAAACAAAAGCAAAAGAAAACAATATACATCTTATAAAAAAAACTAAAAATACATCATAAAAAACTAAATTACATCATATTAAAAAAAAAGATTATGAGCAACTAAATTAGATAAAATTAACAGAAAGCCATACGAAACAAAAAAGTCTTAACCTTAGTTTTAAAAGTGTTAAAACATGTCTCGTGTCTGATTTCACGAGGGAGTGAATTAAAAAGCCTGGGGGCTGCCACGGCAAACGCCCTGTAACCTAGCGTTTTCTTGGTTTTACCATTGTATGGTTCCAATAGTATCTCATTGTTTCGACGAAGCAAATATTTGCTAGGGCATAAAATGTTAACTAAATTACTAATATAATTAGGAGCTAGGCCATTAATAGCTTTAAAAATTAAAATTAACATTTTAAATTGTACTCTCTGTTCTATGGGAAGCCAGTGAAGGGAGCGGAGCACCGGAGTTATGTGAGAAAACTTTGCTGTTCCAGTTATAAGCCGGGCTGCTGCGTTTTGAACTCGCTGAAGTTTGTTTAAAGAGTTGTCCGGGAGTCCACATAGCAAACTGTTACAGTAATCAATTCTACTTGTAATCATGGCATGTACTAATGTCTTATTAAACATACATCTCAATTTGCATTCAATTAAATAAGTAGACAGCAAGAATTACTACAGCCTTTTGTTTGTGACCAGTATTATTAGTATTATTTGCAATAAATATCTGTAAAATGAATTGAAACGTGGAAAGCTAAGATCTCTTAAAACTTGTAAATTTTACTGAATTATGACACTTACTGCTAAAGGAAACAAGAAACTAACTTTGTTCACCAGTGTATATTACAGA